TCACCACATCCAACCACCACGCCAGTCTCATGGCCACGGCTGGCCGCCGCCAACGCAGATTGCACCAGGACCGCCACCCATATATCTTCCTAATCTCGGTCGTACGCGCTGGAAACGGCCAGATGACCCCCGTCCCTTTGGGAGCGGGTCGGCCACCACCGTGGCCGAAGCCGGCGACGGCGCGGCAGCAGCAAGGCCGATGAGTAGAGGGTTGGCGGCGGGGTAGGGTTTCAGCCCCCGGGCCGACACAGGAGGGACGACACTGTGGAAGTGAACGCTCTGACATCAAGTACAATTACTGGAACCATCAATTTCTGTATGTACAGTGACCAAAGTGACTATCATCAACAAGTATTTTTTTCACTAAATTTTTTTATCCTAAAAGAGCAAGTTTAATGACGCATAATGCATTTTACTATAAATTTAAAAAAACACTAAACGTCCAGATGCATGCGGAGATCCTAACAATTTACGGCAGGCACGGTCAGTCAGCCGCACTCCGTGGAACTAGAGTCGATTGCAAAACCTACCCCACCGAGTCTGACCCATGGGAGTCCTAGGGTCGGTGTTCGGCGGGTCGGCGGGGACGGGAGAAGGTGCGGCGGCGCGGCGGCGCTCCGCTGGACATGAACTCCGCTCGACAGCCAGAGGCAGGAGGACCTTTTTTTTCATGGGAAAGCCAAATTTTATTACTCAAAGACCACATTGTGTGGGATACAACTCGGATCATTTAACTCGGATCATGGACCTGGTTGGCGTTTTTTGAGTGGGGCTCCATACAGCTAGCCCAGTGGTGGCAAGCTTCAAGGCCCGTCTGGCCGAATGCCAGCCCAAATCCATATTTTAGCCTGCAGAAGGTCCAACGATCTCCCCTCAAATAGAAAACAAATTTGTTAAAAAATAAAAAAAAGTAAAAATAATTGGGAAAAAATAGATGGTCAAGTGGAACAGGCTATTCTCACGTTTTTTCCATGAATTTTAGGACTGTATATGGACGGATATATAGACTACTAAAAAAGTATATATGGACCGACACATATCCATTTTTTTTGTTGACAATAAATATTATGCAAGGTAGAATGCATTACATTCCATGTACATCCAAGTGATGTAGAATGCACGGAGATGATTATTTCTTGAACAAACTTTAATCCCATGATGTAACTTACCATTTTGAGAATATTTACTTCAAGTTTGTCTCTCTCTCTCTGTCTCTCTCTCTTTTTCCAGGAACCTTCATAAACTAATTTAAGAGCGTTTAGATCATTACTTTAGCGATTTAAATGCTTTTATATTAATTTACAGATGAAGTAAGTGTTAACCAAAATTACTCTATACATGTTTTGAAAATATAAGAAAAACAAATTTGCTCACGAACATTGTAAGTTGGCAAGAGGTTTGTCAAAGTGCATCGTCTATATTTAAAATTTTCTTCATGTATGATGTTTTTAATTAAGAACGCACACGTGCAAAGCACGTGCCTTTGACTAGTAGTTGTAGTCTGAACTTGTCCGCCGTATTATGTGAACTTTAGCTATCTTTCGATGATCCAGCTGTGATCTTTTGATGAACCGATTATGCATTGTATGTCCGCTCATGATCTACGTAGTTTTTATCAATGTTGCATGGTTTAGTATGAATATAGGGGACGGAATATGGGATACGTGGGTGTGGAGACGCGCATATAGGGAGTGCCCGCATCCGCGGGCGTTTGAGAAGCCGGATTTGCTGAGTCCGGCTGTAGATGCTCTTATATGAGAGGTAAATACGCTAGTGATGCTTTGAACTTGGCAGAAATGTTCAGTTTAATGTCTGAACTTGAAAAATACACCGAATGGGTCATAAAACTCAAATACGTTGTTAATCCCATATGCATACGTAAAGTGTGCCGACGTGGCACCATGTGTATAGCTGACGTGGCATGGGGCCCATTGAAACTGGATTACTAGAATAATACTAGCTATGACTAATGGGCTGCAATAAGTGCGGCCCATTTAGCACATGTTCTTTTCTATCAAAAACATAAAAAAGTATGTACATTATAATGACAGTAATACAAATAGAGTTCAACAATTCATGTGTTACAGATGCCTAAGTCCATGTACTTTTAAAAACATTCACCTATTATTATTAAAACAATCATATTGTTTATATAACTAAACAATATTTGTAATTTAAAATGCTTATATGAATAGTGAATCCTGTATTATGTTGACATTATATAAAATTATGAACATAAGCCACGAGTGAAATTATACACCAATGAATATTCAGAATATTTAGTAAAATATTATTTAATAAATAAGAGGTGAATATTTTAAAAATACAGGAACGTTTTTTTGTAAGATATTTTATTGCTAACCTCCATATATTTATTTTTTGTGCACACCAATATTCGTGCATGAATGCTCATGTACCATGAGGTTATTATTTATGTACCACAAATTTCCATAACTAACAGCGTGGAATGGAGCCTTGTTTATGTTTCTTTTAAATAATATATGTGCACACGTACATTTGTTGAGCATGAGGTAATTATTAATAACGCATGAATATTCAAATCTAACTTTTAATATAATATCGATCAGACATAATCCATATGTGCAGATCACATTTTATTATTCCATCACATGAA